CTGGAGAGCCAAGGGGTGGTCAGCAAGACCCACTCACCGTTCAACAGCCCCATTTGGCCTGAGCGAAAATCTGAAGGAGAATGGAGATTGACTGTGGACTACCGTGCATTGAATGAAGTGACTCCACCACCGAGCGCTGCCGTGCCAGACATATTAGAGCTCCAGTTCGAGCTGGAGTCCAAGGCAGCAAAGTGCTTTGCCACTATAGACATTGCCAATGCATTTTTCTCCATTCCTCTGGCAGCAGAATGCAGGCCTCAGTTTGCTTTCACATGGAGGGGAGTGCAGTACACCTGGAACCAACTGCCCCAGGGGTGGAAGCACAGTCCCACCATCTGCCATGGACTGATCCAGACTGCACTAGAAAGGGGTGAGGCTCCAGAACATCTGCAGTATATTGATGACATCATTGTGTGAGGGGAACACAGCTGCGGAAGTGTTTGAGAAAGGGAAGGAAATCATCCAAATCCTCCTGGGAGCTGGTTTTGCCATTAGAAAGTCAAGGTAAAGGGGCCAGCTTGTGAGATTCAGTTCCTGGCAGTGAAGTGGCAAGATGGACTGTAGTAAACCCCATACGTTTAGCAAAAGCACCATGGAGAATCTAACAAAAGGAATGCTGGCACAGCAGCAAGGAAGCTTCCTGACTCATGGACATCTGCCCTATAACCTATCTCTATAACCATGTGAGGCAATGCCATGGTAGCCTTTACCTATCGGTCATTTTATGGTCCCCCTAATCCCTTGCCATTGGTCAAGTTTGGATACTTGCCAAGCCTATAAAAGTAGCATGCTGTACCCTACTAGCTCAGAAGAAGAAGAGCTGAGACCCTTCACGGACCCCCAAATAAAGCCTTCTCTGTGGAACAGCTTCTGCCTTCTCCTTCTCCTCTCTCCGTCTGCTGCTGCCTGAAGCCCGGGGCTCCACTACCTAGCAAGCAAAGAGCTGAGGTCCTAAGAGCTGCTAATCACTATAGAGCTGAATATCACCAGGCTTGCTAGAAAGGTAGCCCCGCGGCATTGGCCTGAGCTGGCTTCGGGCACCCGGTCCCTCCTCAGGGACTGAGATCCTGAGCACCAAGGCTCTGCTTCATGATAAGGCTGATCGGAGGCCTTATTAATGGACGGCATCAGATTCCTACAGACGTAATCAACAAGATCACAGCGATGTCTCCACCCACCAATAAGAAAGAGACACAAGCTTTCCTACGTGCCATAGGCTTTTGGAGAATGCACATTCCTGAGTACAGTCAGATCGTGAGCCCTCTTTACCTGGTCACCTGCAAGAAGAACGAGTTCCACTGGGGCCCTGAGCAGCAACAAGCCTTTGCCCAGATCAAGCAGGAGATTGCTCATGCAGTTGCCCTTGGCCCAGTCAGGACAGGAGCAGAGGTGAAGAACGTGCTCTACTCTGCAGCTGGGAACCATGGCTTGTCCTGGACCCTTTGGCAGAAGGTGCCTGGGGAGACTCGAGGCCGACCACTGGGATTTTGGAGTCGAAGCTACAGAGGATGAGAAGCCAACTACACTCCCACAGAGAAGGAAATCTTGGCTGCCTATGAAGGAGTCCAGGCTGCCTCAGAGGTGATTGGCACGGAAGCACAACTCCTCCTGGCACCCCGACTACCGGTGCTGGGGTGGATGTTCAAAGGAAGGTTCCCACCCCCCACCACACCACTGACGCTACATGGAGTAAATGGATTGCTCTTATCCCACAGTGCGCCCGTATTGGAAACCTGAATCGCCCTGGGATTTTGGAGATAATTACAAACTGGCCAGAAGGTGAGAACTTTGGTCTTACTGATGAAGAGCAACAAGAACCAGTGACATGGGCTGAAGAGGCTCCTCCCTATAACCAACTGCCCCCAGAGGAAACGCGCTACGCTCTTTTCACTGACGGTTCCTGTCGCATCGCAGGGATGGACCAGAAGTGGAAAGCAGCCGTATGGATCCCCACACGACAGGTGGCAGAGGGTGCTGAAGGAGAAGGTGGATCAAGTCAACTTACAGAACTCAAAGGCGTTCAGCTGGGCCTGGACAATGCTAAGGGAGAGAAATGGCCAAAGCTCTACCTCTACACTGATTCATGGATGGTAGCCAATGCTCTGTGGGGATGGCTGGAGAGGTGGAAAAAGGCCAACTGGCAGCGTAGGTGTCATGGTTTGATGCTGGCACAATGCCAGTGTCCCCATGAAAATATGTGCTCCCTGGTGTCTGCTGTGAGATGTGACCAGGAATAAGCAAAGCAGGTCCCCACTTAGAAATAAAGAAATGAAACCTTTATTAACTAAACTACAACTCTAAGTAACAAGAAACACACAGGGAAAATGAAAACTTTCCAAAAACATTTCCTCCCCCTCCCACCAGATTTCCAATACATCTATCCTCCAAATCACCAACTCTCGGTCCATCACCACCCTTTAGGTAATCAACTCTCAGTTCATCAAGGGGAGAGGAGTCCTTCTTGTGCCATAGGCTTCCCCAGGAAACACCGCTGAAACCTCGTGTGTTTCCACGTCACTCGTGGCACCGCCTGGAGAACATCTGCCATTGTGACCTCTTCCTTCCATGTCCAGTGCTCTCACCACTGCACATGGACCAGAGCTGCTTCTAGGGTTGTCCTTCCAAAAAGGGCACAGTCTCACCTTTGGGACACCTGTGCCCCCCAAATTTCACCCCCTGGGGCCGAGGGGTACCAACACTGAACCCTCTTGGCTCTGAGCCATTGCCTCCCCCTGGATGCAGTCTCTGTGTCACAGGAAACATGGTTCTGTCCATGGCTACACAAGAAAAGTCCAGCTAAGGCCACTCCATCATCTCTTCTCACCTAAGATTCTTCTCTACTCTCCCGACATCTTTCACTTGCCCAGACCTTCACACTTGCACATTTCCTTCCTCCATTTCATCTCTTATCTCTCTTCTAGGAAAGGTTAATGTTCTGCAAAGTTTTCCTTGTCCGAAAAAGGGTTAAAAGCTCGGGCTCTGCCCACCCAAAGCTCCCACAGCTGCCGGACCCCTTCTCGCTGCATCCCCCCCGCCCTTCTCTGCCAGCCGGGCTGTGCTGCCAGGACAGGATATCAAATTTCACGGTGGCACAGGCGCTCTGTCTCTCTCTCTCTCCTGGGGGGGAGGTGTGGCTGCCCGATGCCTCTCGGGGCTCTTCCACCCTTCCATCCTCGGGCCAGGCCTACCTTACCCAGCCCCAAACCAGCCAGGAGCTGGGCAGGGGAGGCCCGACCTGCTTCCCTCGCTGGAACCCAAGAGAGCTTCCCCCGGGAGTGCTCTGCTTTTTAACCCCTGAGTTCTCAGAGGCGTATCCAATGTCCCCAGTGGCCAAACCAGCTGCCAGTATTCAAATGTGAGCACCTACTGGCCTGACCACTTCATATACCAGAAAACTAACTTCCTCTCAAACCACGACATCTATATAATCTCAGTCCAGTTTATCCCAGTCTGCAGGAACCCAGTCCATTTGATCCAAATCCAAATTTGATCCCAGTCCATAAAATCTGTCATTTTTGATCCAGGCCATATTTGATCCCAGTCCAAAGTCGATCCCTGTCCTGATTTGATCCCAGTCCAGTTTATCCCAGCCCATAGTTGATTTTAGTCCATATTTGATCCCAGTCCATTTTTTATCCCAATTCATATTTGATCCCAGCCCATATTTGATCCCAGTCTATATAACCTCAGTCCAGTTTATCCTACATTGTAGGATTCCAATCAATAATTGATCCCAGTCCATATTTGACCCCAGTGCATATTTGATCCCAGTGAATAGTTGATCACAGTCCCTATTTGATCCCAGTCCCTATTTGATCCCAGTCCCTGTTTGATCCCAGTCCATATTTGATCCCAACCCCTATCTGATCCTAGTCCATGTTTGATCCCAGTCCGTGTTGGCCTGCACACATTCCAAAAGTCTGGAGTTCCAGCTCCCATTCAGGAAAAGATGTTCCTGCCCTTGAAGGGAAATGGAGCAAAATCCTACAGAGACATTTCCCTGCCAGCCTGCAGGACTTCAGCTCCTGGGACTGGGAATTGAAATACTAATTGGGAAATAAAATAATAAATAATCAGGGGAGGGTCTGTGGGGACAGAGGGGTCATCTAAATCAGGGCAGGGGTCAATTAAATCAGGGCAGGGGTCAATTAAATCAGGGGAAGGGAAATTAAAACAGGGAAAGGGTAAATTAAATCAGGGGAGGGGTCAATTCAGGGGAGGGGTCAATTAAATCAGGGAAAGGTCAACAAAATCAGGGGAGGGTCTTTGGTGGCAGGGGTCAATTAAATTAGGGGAGGGGGCAATTTAATCAGGGGAGGGTCTTTGGTGGTCACTGGGGCAATAAATCAGGGGAGAGTATTGGGTGGTCTCTGAGGCAATTAAATATAGGGAGGGTCTCTGGTGGTCCCTGGATCCATGGAGACACTGAGAGAGAAACAGAGACAGCAAAGAGAGGCGGGAGAGAAAAGGGGACACCAAGACAATGAGCTGAGAAGGCAGCACTCTGCAAATAGAACTGCAACAGACTGAACATGAACGGGAGAGAAATCAGTAAGTCTCAGGGTTTTATTTGCTGTCAAATACATCCCACACACCCAGCCCCACACAGTCTCCATCCCACCACTCTAACTGAGACCCCACGACTCTAAATCACCTCCCAACCTCATCTCAGCCTGATGGCTGCGGAATCGAGTGAGTTTGGCGTGGGACTGAGTTTTTTGAGGTGGGTTTGAGCTCTTTTTGGGGTAAGATTGAGCTGTTTTCACTGGGATTTCAGTGGTTTTGAGGTGACAGATCCATTCCTCTTGGCTTCTCCAGTGCAAAGAGATGGAGAATAGAAAAAAATTAACGTGAAATTGAAAGTAGAAGCAGCCAAGTGTGTTCTCAACATGGATCACAGGGAATGGGAGTGACCAGGGCTGTGCCCAAAGTGGGGGATGGAGCTGGAGCAGCGCACGAAGCTCTGCCCGCACTCGGGGCACTCACAGGGCTTCCCTTACCGGTGCCTCCGTTGGTGTTGGGTCAAGTCAGAGCTGCTGGAGAAGCTCTTCCCACACTGGGGACACTCGTAGGGCCTCTCCCCAGTGTGGATGCGCCGGTGCTTGACAAGGGTGGAGTTGTCCTTGAGTCCCTTCCCGCAGTCGGGGCATTGGAAGGGCCTCTCCTCTCTGTGAATCCGATAGTGCTGGAGGAGATGGGAGCTGGTCTGAAACCCCTTCCCACACTTGGAACACTCATAGGGCCGTTCCCCAGTGTGGATCCTCTGGTGCCTGATCAGGTCGCCTTTCCACCTGAAGCACTTCCTACACTCCCCACACGTGTGGTGTTTCTCCCCATCATGGAGCTTCTCATGGAGCACCAGCTCCGAGCTCTGGCTCCGTCTCTGGCCGCCTTCCCGGCCCAGGCTGGCTCCTTCCCCCTCAGATCCCCGCCGGCTGCGTTTGCAGCCCCTCCTCGTGCAGCATCTCCGGGGCTTTTCCTCCCCGTTGGCTTCCTGCGCCGTGGAGCCGCTCAAAACGGCCTCTGCCACCAGGTTCTGCCGCGGGCATTTGTCCTCCCTGCTCTCCATGCTCAGCTCCTGCTCTGGGGGAGGAAGGACAAGGACAGGATGGGATTTGCCTCCGTGCCACAGGCAAGGGCAAGGAGATCCCCCCAGGGCTGAGCTGCAGCCGGGGCCGTGCTGGGCTGGGAGATGGAGCAGCACAGAGGGGAAAGGGGCACTGACTTCCTCCTCACCTGCCTCAGTGTCCCGGGGCATCTTCCTCTTCTTCGCAGCCTCCCAGGCCTTGGCAATGGGAAATCCTGGTTTGGGGAAAACAAGGGATGAGAGCGTTTGTAGGAGCATCGGGGGGTAGGACGGTCGGGACGGACGGAGACGAGAGATCTCTGCAGCCAGGGCGTGGAACTTGCGGTTTATTGCAAAGGGCCTGGGTGCAGGGCCCTGCTTGGAGCCGCCAGGCACAGCTCAGAGCAGGCCCGAGAGAAGAGAGGGGTAGAGAGGGTGAGAGGGTGAGAGAGTAAGAGGAGAAGGGTGTAAGAGAGGAAGGGTCCCGTTACAATACAATAAATTTTCTTCTTTGTTGAATATTCTATTTCTCACTAACCAATCTGGTACCAGATGCAAATCCTACAGCATTTACATACAGCCTGTAAAAATCATTATATCACCATACTGTGTTACATTTTAAACCCTAAAAACTCCTCTTTGGACCCTTTCTATTGAGGTAGTGGGGTCTGCTCTGACCCTTGGATCTGTCTGCAAGCAGAGGGAATTGTTTCATCAAAAGGGGATTACCTTCAGTTGGGCCACACCATTGTTTTCCAGTTGTTCACTAACTGAGGTATCTCAAAGCTTGCTTTCATTTCAATCTTCCTTATACTTTTTCTGTTCACAAAATCTTTTGCCAGACAATCGCATTTATAAGGCTTTCCTGTTTCATCTTCCCCAACACACACTGAGTTTGAAGGTCGCTCTGCCCAAGTCCATCTCTACAATCACTGGCCATCTGGGCTCCAGAAAAACCTCCCAAACACCCAGATTCAGCCCTGAAAAAGCCTCCCAGGAGTTCCCCGTCCCTGGTCCCTCCCCTCTGGTGTTCGGGGATTCCCCCCTGTCCCAGCTGCTCGGGGTCACGCTTGGATTGGGGGTCCCCCTTGTGCCCGGTGCCCGCCCTGCTCAGGCTGCTGGCAGTCCCAGCAATGCCAAAAGCTCCCCCGACTTCACTCTCCCCATTTCGGGATGCTGGGGCTGTTTGGGCTCCTGGGCTCCCTTCTCCCCTCATTCCCTGCTTTGGGCTGTGAATGAGACAAGGACTGGTTCTCCCAGACCTGCCAAGTGAGTGCTGGAGTCTGCCACGCTGCGTTTCCAACTTTCCTCGAGGGAAGCAGCCAGTAAAGAGACACAGCAAGTGATAAGAGGAGTGAGAGAATCCCCCGGGGTAACTGGGACTGGGTCTCAGAGAGGGGCTGGACCCTCCGAGGAAGGGAGCAGAGGAGTTTCCGAGCCCAATCCACTAGGAAACGGGACAAAAGGGGCTCCTAAAAAATCTGCTGGTTTGAGGGATAAGAGAGCCCATGAGCATCCAGAATTAAAACCTGCTAGAACATTCGGTCATCTCTGCCTCGGGCAGAATAAACTGTAAAAGAACTCGCTGCGTCAGGCAGCATTTGTGAACAGGGGGAGACTCTGACATTCGGAGCTCAGATCCGTGTTCACCCAGCACCGAACCCGGGCTCGATGCTGACCCTTGGCTGTGGTAGCGTAGATGACCGAACTTCTGTCTTGCAGACAAATTAATAAATCTTTGCTAAATTTTCCTATAAGTTTGGCTCTCGATTTGATCATTTATAACAAAAGATACCTTATTGTTGTCTTGTTGTGTGTGAGAGTGAGTCACAGACAAAATCAGCCTCAGCTTCCCGGGCGGGTGGGAAGGGGGGCTGTGGAAAGAGGAGTGTGTGACCCACAAATAAGCCATTGTTCTCCTGGGCGTGTGGGGGCTGTGGCATAAGGTACAGGTGACCTGCAAATGGGCCATTGTCCCCCCAGGGCGTGTGAGGGGGCCGTGGCTAAAAGAGTGTGAGTGACACACAAATCAGCCTCACAGGTGAACGGCACCAGAGGCAGCAGAGTCAGGGCCCTCCCAGGAGGCCCGGAGATACTGAGACCCAGAGGCCACCCCAAGGTGAGGGGGGGCCACAGGGACCCGCGATTCTCTGTCAACAGGGATCCACTCTGTGTCCTGAGGGTGGGAAAGAATGTGTGGAAGTGAGTGAGAAATAAAAGTGAGTGAATGTATATGAATGAAAATATAGGTAATGTAGATTCTGTATTTTAAGCTTCACTATATTTCCTTGGAGGGAGGTGTATGAAAGTAGTGTGAGAAAAAAGTTTTTTATTTTTCTGTGTGTAGTTGAAAGAAGAGTGGTATTTACGTTGTTAGTGAATGTGAAAAACAGAGGAAGAAGATTAATAGATAAGATCTTGAAAATGAGACAGAAAACCAGTAAGTTGCATACAGGGAAAAAAAAAAAAAGAAATAATCCTTTGGGAGTTATGTTAGTTAACAGAGATACAACTCCTTGCAAAAGGAGAAAATACAGGGTATGTAGTAGTTGATGGGAAAAACGTGCAAACTATGGAAAAAGGGAAATTAACCTTAAACTAGTAAGCTCAAACTTGTGAATTATATACTTTAAAAAGAGCACTAGAATATTAAACACAAAATAAAGGAACTATATATACTGATTCAAGGTATGCCTTTAGAGTAGTACACACCTGTAAAAAATTTGGAAAGGAAAAAGATTGCTTAATTCAAGAAGAAAAGGACTAGTACATGAGGAACTTATTTTAGAGGTTTTAGAGGCATTACAATTACCTAAAAGAGATAGCTATAGTACATATTATGGAACTCCAAAAGGGAAAGACACCAGAAAGAAGAGGAAATAATTTGGTAGATCACAAAGCTAAGGATGCAGCAGAAAATGGAGCTGAAAGAGTTATGTTAATATTAACTTCAAATGAGGAAAAACCACAAATTCCAAAGTTTAGGGAAGCCGTGAAAAAAGAATTAAACAAGACAGGAAATGAACAAGATAAATCAGGGAAATGGAAACTTCATGATGAAAGACAATTACTTAATAAAATGTGCTTCTAGGAAAATATTAGAAGACATGCATCAGAAAACCCACTGGGGCACTCAAGTTTTGTGTGATCATTTTTTAAGGAACTATGGGTGCATTGGGATTTTTGGATTTGCAAAGCAAGTGACTGAAAGATGCTTAATTTGCCAAAGGATAAATGAAAAAGTGATGAGAAAAACAACATTAGGAGGTCATGAGTTAGCTCATCGGCCATTTCAAAGTATCCAAGCAGAAGTTTAGATTTGCTAGGCTCTGGATTTATTTGTAAAAAAACCCATTTAATCTAAAAGAAAGAGAATATGCCATATGTTAGACAGGAGATTTTAGAAGAATAAAAATCTTTAAAGGATGAGAAACCTCCGAGAAAAAAACAAGAAAAGACAAAGGGAAATGAAAGGGAGAGGAGCAGGAGGAAAAATCAGAAAGAGAGTGGGATCCTCTGCAGGTCTTGCTCCCTCCGTTCACGGCCCAGGCGCCGGGTCCCGGCTCGCTGCCCGCCTCAGCTCCGCCTGCCCCGGTTTCCATCCCAGGTGCGGCCTCACTGCCCAGGGCAGCTCCACCTGCCCCGGCGCTGTTGCTCAATTTGTGTGCCCTGCTCCCACTGCCTGGCCCGCGGCCGCTCTGCCGACCATGCTGGGGAAGATGGGGGTTGCTCTGTCCTGCCGCCTGCTCCGAGGTCACCGTGCCCACCGCACCCAGGGGGGGTCCCAGCCATCCCATCCCCGGCTGCCCTGCCCGTGCCACCTGCGCTGGGCACCGCCGCTGCTGCCGGGCTCTCCCACCTGCCTCTTCCTCTGCCGGCAGCTGCCGGATCAGCCGCCATCAGCCATGTGGGGGCTACCCACGCTCCACCTCGGACTCCACGGGAAGATCCCCCTCTGCCGATTCCAGCAGCAGACCCTGCCCACACTCCCACCGAGCCTCGGCGGGATATCCTCCCCTGACCCCGTCCTGCTCTGAGTTACGTCCCCTTGGTAACCACAGCTCCGGCTGTTCAGGGAAACTCTCTGTCTCTCTACAGGAAGCACCTTATTCAAACAATAGGAGCTCGGTTAAAAGGCAGCCCTCTCCAAATTCTTTCTCAAAACACAGGAGAAAGGCTATAGAAGGTAAAAAAGTGAAAGAGTTAGATGAAGGGATTGCTCTATTTCCGTTCAGAGAGGTTCCCATGGGAGGGATGCGCTGCCCCGCCCTCCGGGTGCCACCAGCGCCCCTGCCGGCCGTGCCCGGAACTGCACCCAAGGGCAAAGCGCCGCAGCCCAAAGGCCGGGACTGGGTCCGGGCTCTGTTTGCTGTCAGTGCCGCAGCTGTTGGTGTTTGTTTGCTTTATTATACACACTAGTAAAGAACTGGTATTCCTATTCCCATATCTTTGCCTGAGAGTCCCTTGATTTCACTAATCTAGAAATTAAGAGGGAGGCGGTTTGCATTCTTCATTCCAAGAGAGGCTTTTTCTGCCTTCCCGAGCAGACACCTCTCTTGTAAAGCAAGACAAGCACCCACAGGCACTGAGGGGGCTGCAGGAGGGGCACAAGAAGGCCCTGCAGCACTTGGGCACAAAGGCACAGCAGGTGAATGCAAGAAGGGAGCAGCAAAAGGCCAAGCTGAAGGCTATGGCCAGGGCACAGTTCCTACAGCCC